ATGCGATCAACCAACGGGCAGCAATACGCTCTGAAATGATGGCAATCTACTAGAAATGCCCAAAAAAGGAAAGAACTAAGGACTTTTCGAATCCAGAACTCCCAGCAGAAGCAACATTCTGATTTCGTCCAAGGATTCAAAGCTGACCCGCTGAAGAACCTCTGTTACCGGCAGTATGTTCGAAATCACTTGCCAAGGAAAGATGCACTTCGAAGACGTTACCATTGAGGTCTTCATTACTATATATAAACTCACCCTCAAGTGGTTTCGTTGGCGGCCTCCCCAAAGAGATCTTCTGAAGACGTCCCACATCAGTCAGCACTTGGCGATCAACACCATCGAAGTCTGGAAAAGCTTTCGATTTCGAAAATCAGAAAACACTCAACACCTTTATGAAGAAAACCCAGCCTTCGCCTCAGCCATGGTTAACTCGAACTTCTCATCAATTTTTTCAAACATGTTTAAGTTCTTACAAATGAATCTTTCATTATACAGAGACATTTGCTAGCATTGTACAGAAGGGCAAACACGTATCGTTTCCATGGGTTCAAATTCGTCGGTAGATTGATTTAAATTAATGCCTCCTTTGAAGTCCACTAATGAAATCTTCGTCGGCCCTAGTCTCCCTGAGTCAGATATCATCACGTCTGTGACCCTAACCTTCCCCACTAACCCTAACCTTCCCCATAAGCTCTGTAGGAGGAGACAACCTTTCACTTTTGACCTCCATCTTATGAAAGCTTTCAGAACGAATTGAGCCTTTATATAATAGTTCCAACTGTAAGAAACGTGGCTGACGAATGGCTAGAGAGGCGCCCCGTAGGAAAGGAATGCTGTTTAAACTAACTAATACCTTGAATGACGTCCAGGAGGGCTCCAGTGATTTCGCCAAAAGGAGCACTAATTGCGTGATCGTAGACTTTCCTCAGCCAGCTTTCGCTTACATACACTATACAACCCGACTTGAGCACAACATCACGGAAGCTTTCCTGCAGAAAGAAATTTCAGCCGATGACAAATTTCCGGGACAAGCCATGGTGATCTTTACCCAAGGTAAGGTGTCCTCGCCACGATAGGCGAGACATAGCGTTGAATAGGCTGCGATGTAGATGGCATCAGTGTTGAGGAACTCCTGCTGGATTTTTGATTTGGACTTGAATGCCTCGTTGTGGACTGCAGAAAAGTCTGAAAAGAGGTTTTATACATCCTTTTTCGCGGCTGTGCTTTAAAAATAGGTGCTGACCGTTATAGAACCCCGATGAGAACTCCAGAATGGCCTCGTCCAGTTCCAGTGTCGATTTGAATTTGCTCCAAACGACAACATTATCCACTAGAGAGTCCACGAATTTTTGTGCGGTGATTTTTTCTGTCTGGAGATAAAAAGAATTGCACAGTATGCAGCTGCAATCGAGCCATCTACAGGTGCAACAAGGAAAGTATTCAAAATAATTATATTTTGAAGTTGGAGCAAAATAATTATTCTATTGATGCCTAACTGCTCCGATTGCCTGACAAAGAACCGGGTACCCGACAAGAGGCTCGTCGCGCGGCGAGAAGGCTCAGACGCAGACGGGCCGGCGGGCGAGTCGCAGCGCGTGCTGAATAAGATGTGCCATAGTACGTCCCACATCACATAGCCCCCGCTGCGACCCGTCCGCTGATCCGTCTGCGTTTCTGCCTTCTCGACGCGAGACGGGCCTCCTGTCGGGTACCCCAAAAAACTATTCCCAACTACTTCAAAGGTCGGCGAACTCCGTTCGCATAAAAGTGCCATCAAGGAACTGCTCCCGTTGGGCCAAAAATACCACGCGAAAAACCAACAATGAACACAACTCAAGGAAGATATGGAAAAGTCGTTCATTCGAAACTCAAAACTTTCACATACTTGATCCATGCAAAACTTTTTGTTCATTTTCGTCGTTCTCACTCAAAGCAACTCTCCAGCAGAAGTCGTGTCGAAGAATCTATTCAGTGAGTGGGATTGAATAACCCACTAACATCACAGATGTGCCGTTGTTGAGGCTCGAAAGTGAGCTGCACAACGGCGCGAGGGTCTTACAAAGTCAAAATTTGCATCTAATCCCAGCATTTGGACGAGTTTAGGCTGCGTGCACGGCACACCCCATGACACGCAGCGTGGATTACGGTGTAGCGGTTAGTTCAAATAAGCGCGGGTTAATTGGGCTATCGAGCGGACAGGTTCGCACAACTCGTCGGACCCCGCCCCTTCCTTTTCGGGAGAATTTTGGCTATGGATTTTCATGGACGTTCTTTGCATTTTTCACTTGTGATCAGTTCGGCATCCACAACTTCATTATCAACCGCTGCAACCTCACAAATTCGATTTGGGAGTGTTGCGGTAATTTTCACCCTACTGAGCCATATTTCCAAGGACTGAACCCTCCACCCAATAATATTCCACTGCAGTAGACATCAATACTACCCGTATGCGTTAAATGTGCGCCTGACACGCAAGGAGTTACCCGTAAGCAACTTACCGTCTCGTCATACTCAGTCGTTCGCCGTCGAACGATTGGCATCGGTGTCACTTCGTCGTCGAGCGATCGCTGTAGACCAAACTTTTTCGACAGCTTCTTCAGTGTCTCTTTTATTTCCTGTACGAAATAAGAGCTTCAACGATTATCAAGAAAGAATGCTCCAGTGAACAATAACTGACGTCTTCTGTCTCATCGTCAGTCGCTGCAGCATCATTCTGCTTTTGTGAAGTGTTCACAGGAGGAAGTGGACTGCACTGCCCGACATCAGATCGAGAAGTGAAACCTGTGAGCAGCAAATTGGAGATCCACCTCGCGAGCTCTCGAAAGATAGAACCGACTCACTCGGTGGATTGACATCGGCCAGCGAAGGGAACATCTCTCTGAGCTTTGATCTCGTTCCTCATCAAGGAGATCAGGCGATTCACAGTAGTTGAGAATTCCTTGCAACTGAAAAAAAGCAACACTGTTCGAACCAATGAAAGTAAATTCCTGAGAGCCGGTTACTGTAATCAAGACCGTCCCTGCAGGCAGGTGTAGTGAAGATTATTCTCAGTTCTGAACAGGTAGGAAATTACAAAACAAACTACTCTGAGTCGCCCTTGAAAAGCGACATCTTTGTGCTCTTTTCCAGTTTTCCTTTCTGATTCCTTTTGCTCTTTCTTCCCTAATTTGTGTCGTTTTTTACTACTCCCTCCTTGACGGCACGTCGTTGAACCGTGTGAAAATAAATAAATAAAATAAATAAATAATCTCTTCAGGCGAGGCCGAGCAATCACGAAGACTGCGATCACAGAGTTTAATGGCTTCAATGCGCTCTGTGACGAATTCAATACCACTCCCAGCTCGCAAAGAAAAAATTTCAAATTTTAATCACTACGAAATAACTCTTCAGAGTCAGTTCTGTCTTTGAAGGAAGCGATTATGATAGAGAGGGAGCGCACTGGAGAAGTACTTTACTACTTTGAAACATTACTCGCTTGCCGAGAGAGCGAATGTGGCGCTCTCGCGACGAAAGGTGAACTGGTCGCTGAACCAGGCTTTTAAAGCACTCCGCCCCCAAGAGCGCTCCACCAATCCAGTTTAGGCTGGTGATTTGGACGAGCTGTGTTGCCAGCAGTGGCACAACTGGAGCAAGTCGACTGGAGCATGAATTGGCATGGTGCTACCAAGACGCGTTGCGGTAAACTCGTCCATACGTCCGCCGCCGTCATAGCCGATAACCCTCCCTGAGCGACGATCAACGGCAAACAAGGGGACCCTTTTTCGCATTTGCTTGACGGATTTCTCTGCTTCTTTGCTTCGTCAGTGTACCATTGAGTACCCTCACTCCCCTGTTAACCCCTCTAGAACCTATGGTAATCGCTGCCTCCGAAAGAATGGTCTCAAGGAACAGCTGGACCACATAAAATAGCTCACCATGGCTCCACAAGCTCTGACAGCTTCGATGGCAATTTCATACTGAGGTTGAGCACATTCGGCAACGCAGACAATTAGCATTCGCCAAAGCGACAACGAACGAGATCGAACGCATGACGAGATAATGTCGTTCAGGCGAAGACGATCTGACAGAATCTGAAGAAGCTTTTGGAGGTGAACATTTTCTCATAGGAAAAAGAGAGACTGTACACTTTTAGGCCGATGTCAGACTTTGCGAATCGCGCGATTCGCTAGCGTCCGCGGTCGCGTTGCGGTACCAGCCAATTGAGTGATTCACTGGCCGCGACGCGACCGCGGACGCTGGCAAAGTCTGACATCAGCCTTACGGAGATTCACATGGGTTATTAATAAAATAATAATTATGTGTTAGTGAATTCATGTTGGCTTTTCGCCCGTAACGTAGAAACTCATACCCACTCTCCAAATGAAATAAAAGAAACCTTCTTGATGATTCTGACGGCCTCGGCTCGCTGTTCAATTTTTGGGAAAAGAAATGCCTTATGGAAAAAGAGCTTCCAGGACCGAGTTCACCGATGGAATACCGGCCATTATCCGGATCAGCTGTTCCAGAATCCTAGACGTGATCGTTGAGCAGGACGGTATACGTAACTTGATTCAGAACTTACTGGTAGAGCACTCGGGTCGCCTCGGGATTCGCCACCACGGCAGGACTGAGTGTGAATTTCGCCATTTGACCTTGTCCTAGAGGTTCTTCGGTACTGATCGATGGGTTGTCCGGGACGTTCCTGTCGGGAACTCCTAGCAGGCGAATCATCAGGGGGCACAGCTTCTCCCTGAAAACATGAAAAGACACAGATTTTCAAAATACTAAGTGCTTCCGCGACTTTGCTAACAAGAATTATTGATATTGAATGAAAAACGGAATTGCTAGATTTTGAGCATTGATGGGCATTCCCCCAGACTGACTCATCCAGTTGTAAGGCAAAGTGCTCTGAACTGAATTTGTCAATCAAGTATGATGAAAAAAAAACGTGCACTGGAATCTCAAGAGTGAGTGAGAAAAAGGAAATAAGTTCTTTTGGAAGTCTTAGGCAGGTCACATATATATTTCGTCTTCATTGACAGGAATTCAGAAGGACTTTGAAATCTCCGCCCCATGGAAATCAAGCTGGATCAAGGAGAGGGTGAGCACCACCAAGAGGCGCATTCAAGGCTACAAATTGCACACATGGAGAGCACAGTAAAGAACTTACCAGAGTAAATTCACCAGTGGAGTGTGTTTCTGGACACTTAGTGGTTGCGAGGTGAGGAGGGCATTCATCGCGTCAAAAAGGACCACACTCTGGTCCGAGGATACGGTCAGCTGGTCGAGTTTAGCTATGTAGCTCTCGAGCAGTTTCGTTACGTCCAAATATACCGAAAGGAAGTTCTGCGACTCTTCCTGAAATGTCGACTCCAGTTTTGATGAAGAGGTGCAAATGAAGTGCGAAGTTTGCACTCACTCCAGCTGCATATCGATTAGAACAATAGGTGGTTATCGATTGAGAGACGGCTGCGCGCGCGGAAACTCGAACCGCTTCTTCGCGAGTGGATCCGTACACCCTCATACAAAGCTGAATTTATGTTTACTTGGACGACAGAGATTAAATTGAGCCACGGAATCTCTCGCTTACTTCCAAGCACTCTTCAACTTCCTGCAGGGAGACTCGCAGTTCGACGGAACACACCATCTCCACCAGCATCTGAAAGGCTTATTAAAGACTTCTTCAAACGTGTCAACAGATGCATTTATAAACAACTGCCACTTGAAGAAAAGTCACTCAAATTCTATCCCACCGTTCCCTAATTTTGTCTTCAAAGGCACAGGTCGCGTCTGAATCGCTTTGTCGATTAGTTCGGAAATTTGACGAGAAGTACGACAACAAACTTCGCACCCGAATTTTTCTCATGAGTTTCGCCATGGTACGATGGAGAGACGCAGCGCTGGGAAGAGAGGGAAAACACGAGGGAGCATGCCGTGCGCTAGAGAGCATATATGCAGCGAATGATAGGAATGGCAGCAGTTGCAGCGGCCAAGCGAAGACATTACGCCCTTTGCGCGCACAGCGCACCAACTCCTCAAAGGCAAGAATCAGGATCAAATTGATGGGGTGATTCCACACAAATGTGAAAGTAGGGATGGGAGTGACCACCAATGGAAAAGAAGGGAAAAATCCTGAAATACACAGGAAATACGAGCACATTTGCTCTATGCTGTGGAGAAGTTCAAAAGACAGGCAGGGAGATGAGAGATAATGTGAGCGCGGAGAGTGGTAGAGAAGTCCGAGAAGAGAGAGCATAGCAGATCAACGTGGCGACGCAGACAAGACATCGAACGGTGGGCGGACCATGTTAAAGGAATCTTCCACGGACCATGGACCAGTGGGCGGGACCGGAAGTTTTTGTGACGAAATGCATGGTAGGTACGGATCCACGTGTCGAACGCACGAACGTGAACAGGATTCACTTCAAACCTTCCCATGAACGTGGATCCGTACCTACCATGCATTTCGTCGCAAAACCACTTCCGGTCCCGCCCACTGGTCCATGGTCCGTGGAAGATTCCTTTAATTTGGTGGAGCCTGTTAGAACTCCTAGTGGACGGGTTTCGATGTAGAAAGGTGGCGCTACCTTTGCACTTGCGTACCCAGCACTTCTAGCCATGGTAAGGGCTTCTTAGGTGGGTCTGAGCCCGAACTTTGCCCTTTCAAGCAGCTGGTACTGTCGCAACTTTCAAGTCACTACAGTACCTAGCATCCGTTTGTCATCAGCGGTCCCGGCTCCCTTATCGAAGAGAGGATTTCTCAAGAAAATACTAATCGCTATCGTCTCTGGTTTGTAAAAGTTTTGACCAGAGAATCACAGCAGGAAATCCCATAAAAAAATTTGATCATCCTCGAGAATATTCAGCTGGGTCGGCCTTACCGTGAGACAGTTGCGACTGTAGCTGGCTGTTCGCATATGTGGACTCGCACGTGCAGAGCACTCCAAATCCTGAAAATAAGGAATATTGGTGAGTGTGGACAAGAGAATGAAGTCTAAAATCATACCTGTGTCGGTAAGTTGTGATTGGGGTTCTCTATTGAAGTAGAATGGAAACGTTGATCTCGTAGAAGGGCCTGCAAGAATGAAAGTCATCGCTGGCTTCGTTTTTTTTTTTCGTTCTCTTGTTCTGATTGTCGGGAGCGAAGCGCTCTAGCGCTACTGCAAGACAGGGGGCATCGCGCTACAAATGCACTTTAAAACCGCGATAATACATGTTCCTTAGCATTTCCCCATCAGGGGAAGACTTGGAGAGTGTAGTTAGCAACATTATTCTCTTGAAGTTTCTGCCCTGTAAGCCTTAGTCCTACAAGATGGACCCGTATCCTGCCGTATAGCCGCCGCATTTCTGCCTGCATTACCAGAACCCTAGTGGTTGGACTATCCACTGCAATGCTCAGGAAAACGACACTAGAGTCACTTTGAGAGCAGAAAATGACCGCCTACATCTCCACCGTCCCAGCTTTTCGTATACTTGGCGCTAGATAGCAGAACGACGAGCAGAACTCGTGGCCACAGATAAAATGATCTGAATTGATTAAGTTTACAGAGGGACCAAATGGCCTCCTAATTTCCGAAGTGCTCCGCATTTGCCTTTCCTGCCAGAAAGCTTATTCAGAAACTTCATTACCCAAAACCTCACTCAACTACAGCGATTCCAACAAAAAAGTCGCCTAATCAGTTTGGCTTCCCCTTGGTTGCATTTGGGTACGCAAAAGCAGTAAGGAAGACAGCCAGAGAAACATATAATGGCAGTGAAAAGGGTATAGCTATGTTTTTTGTGCAGTACGAGGTTTCTCGGTGAAAATTTCATTTAAATGGCCTAACGTTTCGACTGAATCGTTGTCTTCAGAGGCCTAAAGCACGTTTCAAGCTTCAGATTCGCGCTCTAGCACTTTGCCAACTCTACGAGCCTTGCCAGATTTTGCGAATCGCGCGATCGCGATTGTGTTGCCGGTACCACAATTGGTGATTTCACTGCCGCGACGCGACCGACAGAGGCTACGTAATCGCCGCATTCGCAAAATTCGACATCGCCTAGCGGTTACGATATCGTGAGAAACCCCTCGAAAATCTCAGCAATTTGGGAAAAGCTCACCGACGGTTTCGCCGTTCGAGCGGATGATAAAATGATAAAAGTGAAAAGGGTGATAAAAGCGAGGCCGATGTTGATAATGTGTTGTGTAATTTATGTAGTGACCCCAGCAATAAGGTGTCATTAAACAGAACCAGCAAAGAAAAGGTCAATAGAATATAGCACAGGAATCATAATAACCGTGAAAAACAGTAAATATACTTGAGAAAATTTACTAAATAGTCAAATATGCTACATAAACTTTACTAGGTATTATGGGGCTTAATTCCACCTGCTGCAGAAATCGAGGTGGAACGCTTGATCTCTTCCAACTCGAGCTTTCTATATAATTACCCTGTTTCCAGGAAGGCAGAAGCGCGTCGAGTGCAGACCACACACCACAAGAGCCGTCGGCCTCCAAGCAATGTGGTAGTTAGCGATTTATAGTGATAGCTGATAGTTATTAAATGATAGCTGTAATTAGTGAACATGGTAGAACACAACTGTGAATAACTGCAACCGGGTAATCATTTCATTAGCAGAAAACATTTACATTTTGGTAGAGGCCGCCGTCTTTTGTGTTGTGGGGTCTGCACTTGACAAGCGTCTTGTTTAGGAAACAGGGTATCTTTTTGTTATTCCAGACATGTAGCTCACCTTCACTTAACGCGAGCACGAAGCTTCAGCACGCAGTGGCTCTACGACAAAGAAACAAAGGATAGAGCAGAGTAAATAGTAAACAAATTACAGTAACTTTTCAAAAAGTAAATGAACGCCATTAAATAAACATAAACAGTATATAAACACTATTTCTCTATGTCGAATAATATCCTTTTTCTTACTCCTGCATTCTTGGAGCTGAGTTGATGCAAAATTAATATAAGTAAATAAATAAATAATACCTGACTCCTCTCGACGGCGTAATGAGGCTTCAGCTTTTGTCGTTTCCTTTCTCGAAAACCAAATTCGAACCGCGTGCAATGCATTTCTCACGAACGTATGGATTGAAACAGGTCGTCTGATGACGACAGGCTCTTATCGCTCTAAAGAGGCTCGACAATGTCATTTCATACGTACACAATCAATCGATCAATTAAGTACCGTAGCAGTTGATACCGTACCTTTTGCCTGTGCGACTGCCTCCTTGGTGGCCTGATGCTTGACCGTGTTGGAGAGGCCGTTCAGCGCCGCTTCCATGTCACTCTGAAGAATTGATCGTGTTGCCACCGCAGCTCAGCTCACCCGTCGCTGAATCCCTCCTGGCCCGACGGGGCGGAGACATGCTCAATTATGCATCGTCGTGCAGCAGCATCGTCGTCACTCGCAATCAATGTCCTGGGCACCACTGCCAATAGGCGGTGTGTGTCCATAATGAGAGACGTTCTGCAAAAGCGTAAGGAGCTGCAGGCTAGCCTACGACAAGAACCGTCTTCCTGTTTCCTGACCTGCTAGAGCACTTTAAATAAAGTTCTTCCAGGGTCTGGAGCGCTTTCCCAAACGTTTTCTGCCAAAAACGAGGCCAATTTCTGTTGAACGGCTCGGCGAAGGTCAAAAAGTAATGAAGAAAGAGGTCCAAGGTTCAATCCTCATGATGACAAAATTTTTGCATTCTAAGCTGCAGCTTCCAAATTCGCTCCAAATAGCGCCAGCGCCAACAATAGGTATCATATTCACTATAAAGACCATCAGTAAATTTTGCACTCAAATTTTTTACCGAATCTGGCGGAAAAAAGTTGTAGCGCCAGAAAGGGCGCCAAATGGCGCCGAAGTGGCGTAAATTGAAGCTATCGGAAAAAATGGATGTCATATTCGTGATCAGGGCACTCGATATTCATTAAAGCTAGAAGTTTCAGAGAAAACTGAGATTTTGACCCAAGATCCTAAAAAGGGTCAAAAAGTAATGAAGGAAGAGGTTCAAGGTTCAATTCCCCGTGATGACAAACTTTTGCCCTTTTGGTTGGAGCTTCCAGATTTGCTCCAAATAGCTCCAGCGTTGAAATTTGGTGCCACATTCATTACCAAGATCATCAGTAATCCCCAAAGTCAGTTTTTTACCGAAATGCAATAAAAACAACCCAATCCAAGCAATTTTCTGGACCATTTTGGCCTTCAAGGGCCGCTCACCGAAAGTGAACATCAGTTTTATAATCCATCTAAAAGCTTCTACAGCATGCAAAAAACCGTTTTGGAAAAGCGCTCCACACCCTGGAAGACCCTCTTTTAGCGAGGGTTCTACTCATCAACAGCGTCAGGCCCGACGGACAAATCACTCCCTACCGGAGGATTGGTTGGCTCATAGTAAAGAGACCATTTGTGAATGAATTCCGAAAGGAACCGTAACGATATCACGGCTCTACCTAGATGAAGGGTGACCATAACGTCGAGGAAATGGCCGCGACAGTACCACCCCCAGGTTAGAGGTGTCAGCAGCCTAGTTCAACCTGAAACCTTTCAACTTTCTTCCTCAAATTCTCCTGTATGCAGTGGAGTAATGAAAGTATAAAATGTGACTGCTCAGACAGCATTCTTTACATTTTTCCTATCCCCAATATCCCCGAATACGATCCTCTGTCGAGTAATCTTCAATCGATGTTCGCCCTAATATCGGGATGGCATCTCCTATTTGCTAGCCTATGAGGGCTTAGGAGTGAGCTCTCATAGGCTAGCCCCTAGGCGATGTAAATGAGTAGTGTAGTGTAAATGAGTACTCTTGCGTGAAGGATTTCCCATTTCGTAGGACTCCGACTCTGTCCTATCAAGCCACAGCCTGAATAGGGGGGGGGTCAGCATCAAGTTATTAGTTGTGTTAGTTAGTTATTGTGTCATGATCAGTGACTGATAGGCAGTGAAGTGCTTCGCTCAGCCCTATGATGGTTGTGGAGGGAGGGGGAGTTCGCATTGAGAACCCTCTAAAGGAGGGTCTTAACTCAGTCGCCTACCGCTGCTTGCTGAGATAATAACTCACTATTCTTGCGTAGCATAGTTTTTTTGGCACATGTAATACCGTTGTTGAATTGGTTTATAATTATGAAGCTGAGTGTTAAAGAATTATGCACGAATTTTACTGTTCGAGAGCACGAAACGTATAAAAATTGAACCCGTTCACCTACCATTAGTGAGTCATTAATATCATAGATTGATATTTGACATCAGGTTTAGAATCAAATTATTTCTCGAAAATCGTCATTCCAAATCATCTGAGCACGCACTCACTCACAACTATTCTCCATCTACTCGACTCTCGCATGTGATCTCCTCTATCCCAGGATTTTCTCGACGCGGAAAGATCGCAAATCCGTTTCGTGGTGTTCACGATCGTGGTGGCCCTTGCCATCAGAAGCGAGCACCAACGTGATGGGTGGTTAATGTGAATCTAGGCGCTCTGATCGGAGCAGGAATTACGAATCCTAGTTTGCCTATCTTAATAGATCTTAGGGTAAACGCGCTAGGAGCGCCGTCGCGCCCCCCATTTCTCATGAAGAGAGCGTATGCATTCTATGAAATCTGCTTTGAATTTATTCGAATCAATTTTAATAAGAAAAAAGGATAAAGCATTTGCCGTTGATCAATCCCTTTTTGGGATGCGGCACGCATTCTACTTCCATTTGTACATTCGTAGTGGCGTTTGAATGCGATGTGGCCTATACAATGACTTGCGGGGCCAGCCGATGTACAAGTCAGTGTTTTTATCCTCCCAGACAAGTCTGGTACCAATTAACCGACCCCGGAGGGATGGAAGGCTTGGTTGGCCCGGGCGACTCACGACCCAGGATTTGATCCCGGACCGCTCGCGTGGTGAGCGCACCCACTTGCCACTCCGCCCAAATAAAAAAATAAACAACAA